TCTGTTGTCCTGCAGGACGCTCAGTTTGACTCCCAGAGGGCGATCCAGCAAACACTACAGAAGTCAGAGAGCACGAAGAATCGGATTAATGCTCGAGCTACTGAAGGTAACACACAGATGTTGTCTTATTTATGGTCACTAACAGCTGTTCTCTGTTGTGAATGGATGAAAAGTACCTCATTCATCCTGTTTGTAGACGTCTGTTGTTGCAGGTGAAAAGCTGATGAAATCAGTAATAATGATAAAGAGTCAGTCTGCAGACGCCCTCTCGACTGACCGAATTACTCTCCAGTAGTTTCAGCCGTTCTCCACCACTCGAGGGGGCGTCTCCCACTTTGACCTCGAGGCCATACTCGGCCCACGTGTTTCTGTACTCTACGCCAGCCACCTGGTTATGGCGTTATAAACAAACAAAGGAGAAAAAGTGTGGAGCGTTTAATGGTCCGTGGTGTGAGTGACAGAAGTAACAGGAGGAGTTTCCAGCAGTCTGTGCGTTGTTACTCCCCTTTTGTTTTCTGTCTTTTGTGTCCCTCTGTAGAGGTGAACGTCTCGCGCTCTCAGGTTCTCTTCACCTCGTTGGTCAGCGTGGATGTGCAGGAGGATCAGCTGATAACCCAGCTGCTCCAAGATAAGCTGCTGCTAGCTCCACCTTCCCAGTGTCGCGGAAGGAGGGACATTAAAGGACCCTCCTCCCTGTTTTTCATAACCTCTGACCTGCTCAGGCAAAAGCCCCTTTCACCAGAGGAGGTCCCACTCAGCCGCAAGCTCTCCACATCGGCTTGCCCCGCCCACGTGACTTTTGACCTGTACAGGCGGCAGCAGTCCTGGGAGACGACGCCCTGACGGGAGACGGCGCCCTGACGGGAGACGACCTGCCTGCCGACTGGGATAAAGATGGACGACACTGTGACGCTGGCGTTAGAGCTGAAACTGGAGGTGATGAGTGAGGGAAGGCTGACCTGTGAGGGTTTTCCAGAGATGGTAGGCCCGCCCGCCGTGATGCCAGAAGTGACGTCACATTTGCTTTTGTTTCACATTCTCGTGTTTCTTCTTTGTAACCTCTCATTGTGACGACATGTCCGTGAAGCTCGGGGCTTTGTGTCCTCGACGTGTTTTTCAGACGCAGCCTGAGATTTACTGGAGGAAATGCTTAGTCAACACATTGATGATCTATTTCAGGATGAAGTGGTCAAAGTGTATCTGTTGTAAATGTTTCATGTAAATGAAAACGTGTTTCCTTAGAAACGGTTAGAAAACGATAACAATTGATCTTAGCGTGAAAAAACATTTTCCCCTGTTGGTGTCGCAGTCACACAGGACGTGTGTGTGTGTG